TCTGGGTAGTTTGAGCTCTAGGGGACGAAGAACAAGACTTGTATAAGAAGCCATTAGTATTGATTTTTAAGCATAGAAGATGATGACGGCCTTATCTTTGAAATTCAGAAGGCGCTTTGGGGAGTTTGAGCTCTATGATACCCCTTTTTCTAGTATATAGAAGGTGATTACTTGAGCACCAAGGTGATTACTTTCTTATTAGGCTTCCTTTATCAAGATGGAAAGATAACAAGCTAGTCATTCGTATGAGATAATTAAATGTTATCCATAATTAGCAAGCAACGGAATTTATTATTATTATTTTTCACTTGACTAATGAGAAAAACATATATAAATTTACTAGGACTCTACTTTACTTTGACCCACCTTTATTTTTTGGGGGAGTGGATCTGTTCTCCTCATATTCCATGTCTCCTATCTAATTTTTTAACAGATGTTCATCCAACAAACCAACATCATCAAACCTTCAAAATCCCTCGCAGACCCAACCTTGACAGCCACCACACCTTATCCCCGTTGGCCAACCATCACATGAGCCACACCCCACTGTGCACCCCTCCTCCTCCTCCTCCTCTCCTCAATCTCCCCTTCAAAATTTGATTTCAAATGCTTTATGGGCTTCATCATCAAAAGATTTGTTCTATTTATTAATTGTTTATTATTTTATTTTGCCAATCCATATGGCATAATATATTGGTTCATGTGGGCCTATTGATTGTCACGTCATTATTGAACGAAAGATTTTACATTCAGACTATCGGAGGTATTAAAGTGATAGAAAAATCAAATATTGGATACCAAATCTTTGAGATGAAAAAACCTTTAAAAGTTGAATTTCATAAAACTTTTGGGTAGTAAAGTGAAATTTACCCGATTGATAATATCAATACCAATTGTATTGAGTATATTGATATTTATTTTGTATACAAATGGCTACTGGTGGGGGAGGCCAGATTTCCAATCTAGTCCCAATCTGTTATTAAATGGAAATCTTGTTTGGTAGGTGGAGCTTTGAAGTATGTTTTGAAAATTCTCTCTTTTTTTGTCAAATTATAAGTGTCATCGTAAATACATAATATAAAATACAAGAAATATTATGGACTCAAACTTGCAATACATATCAAACTACAAAAAACTCCTAAAAGAGTTCCTGTAAATTATTAGACTTAAATAAAGTAAGAAGTAGGATCACCGCTCCACATCCTCTTAGGCAACCCAAATAGATCCACATCGTCATACCGGCTAAAACCAAACTCGATACGTGGGATCATGAGGGGAAAGAAATGGGGGGATGGGGGGAGAGGGGATGTGGTTAGGGAGGCCATTTAAAACAATTACGAAATATATAGATATACAAATCGAAGAAAGAAAATCTAACTTTCGGAGGTCAGATTTTTCAGAATCCTTCTAGGTTATCATTGATGTTTAAAAAAAACAAAACCTTCAGGTTCTGAGAGCTCGCACCATTCAAAAGGTGTTTATTTTTTATTTTTTTTCTGTAATTGGAATTAATCCACATAATATGGGTTAGTGACAGCTACTTCATAAATGTAAAAATTTCCAAAACCAAGACAGACTTGTGCATCCAAATAAATTGCAGCTTAAGTAGAGAAAGAGATAACCATTTTATGTAGCAAGTCAAATGGTACAATAGCATGAGATATCAGGGATTCTGGATAAAGAAGGAAAACGTGAATGCAGATAATGTGGTTCTCAATAAAAATTTCGAACAATGTTTAGGATCCAAACACAACCCTGAAATTAACCACATGAATGGAACCTCATCGACTGTTTCAAAGCAGCAGTAACCTTGAACTTCCTAAAATGATTTAAGCAGGTTTGCAGGACATTCTAATTAAGTTTTTGGTCTTCAAGTAAAGGAGGAAAAAACTCACACACACAGATGATGAACATCAAAACCAGACCAGTCAGTACTCAGTCCACTACAACCAGCTTCTGATACTCTTCCCCTGAGATGGCTGCTTCCATGCTAAGCTCTGGGATAATTTCCCCTCCATTATCCAAGAACAACTTCAGCAAATCGTCGGAGTAATTATCCAGGATGGTCACCCCTGGTTTTGTAGAAGGCACCATCCACTTCCTTGGCTCGTAGTCCGAGATATTCCAACTGACAATTTGTGGCACCGCATTATCATACCCATTCTCCTTAAACTTTCTCTGTATTCCCTCATACATAGTCTTCCAACTATTATCTGAATCCTTTTCTTCAGACCTGGTCCAACTATTATAAAAGTATGGGCTTCCGGGGAAGACAAACACCTTCTTGATCATCTGCTCTGGCTTCAAATTCACATTCACAGCCTCTTCCAGAATCAAATCGAACACCTTCTGAAAATTAACCTTAAGCTTCCAGCTGCTCTCGCAGGCCATCCTCCTAGTCAAAAAATCATACCTGTGCTTAAGTTCATCGCCTTTTATTAGATGCAGCTGAGGTGACTCACTGAAATCGATAACCTTTCCTTTCCACGGTTCTTCATTCAGTTCAGACATCAAAAGTGTCAAACCCACAGACACGTCCAGGTTTTGCATATCGATGTCTAGCATGGAGGCAACGTCGCATAAAGCCAAGCAGTTGTTGAATATCTTCTTGCCGTTTAATTTGCCTTGCTTTTTTATACCCTCCACCATGGCCTTCCACTGAAGCTCAGCCACTTGCGCGAAATTCCAATGATTCACATAGCTTAATATTTGATGCGGAAGCAAAGCATCTGCTTCAATTTTGGACTTGTCGGCTTTCAAGTTCTCCCAATACTTCTGGCGGGCTTTCAACTTCTCCAAATATGTATCATCCGTACTATTATCACATTTGTACGCTTCGTCCAACTTGTCCATAGGCAGCAATACCTCCTCTGTCAGCCGGTCTAGGACAGAGTCTGCATACTCGGCCTCCTCAACACCTTGGTATTCAGGGTATGATTCTCGCGGGAAAACCTTTCTCGCTATGCTTTGGAGCAGCAGAGCGGAGTCGCTAAAGTTGTTGCTCAAGGAAAGGCAACTGTCTGCAGCCGAGGTTATCTTCCACCAGTTGTCTTGATCATCATTAGGTTGCTTCAAGTTTTTCTTCTTCAGTTTTTCAATGTCAGACTTCAAGCACTCCACAAAAATATCCGAAATAAACTCGTGGAAGAAGCGATACTCCGGGTCACGCTCGTACCTCTCGACGACAGCCGCCTTTTGCTGGTGCTGCTGGCTCACGTCTTGGCCTTCTATGTCATGCGCCCTTTCATACGCAATCAGCGTGATGTCTCCAACTAATTTAGATTGGCGTTCCTCTTCTAGATCGAGATGCGGACGCAGTAAAAAGCAAAATTGAAGGAAATACAAGAAAAGCCCGGCAATAGGTACGACGTTGCGCGCTAGGGTCTTGGGGTGGTTATTGTGTAGCCAAAACGTCACGGTGCGGAACGTATCCTCCTTACCTATTCCACAGGAGTAATCCTGGAGTATCTTGTAGATGAGCTTGAGTGCAGTTAGGGGGTTGTGGGACCAGGCCAGCGACAGCAGTTCCTCCAGATGATTACGGCCGGCGCTGGCCTTCTCCGCATCTCGGAAGTTGAGGAAGAGGTCAAGGCAGGGGTTACCATTGCAATTACCATCATCAGTGAGAGTGGAGCAGGGAGAGGATTTGGAGACGGAGACCGCGGTTCTTCTAGTACTACTCAAGCCTATAAATGGTGGAATTGGATTTAGGGGTCTC